AAAGTCAAGAGCAACAAGATGAGGAAATTCAAATAAGAAGCCTAAACGTAAAGCAGTAGAGGTTGAAGTTTCGAGTAGTGCTGATGCAAGGCGTATCAAACAAGTGATGGTCCCAAGTGAGGGACTGTCAAACGCCTAATGAGTCTTTTGAGTTGGAATTGCCAGGGATTGGGGCGGCCTCAAGACTTGACAATTGCCCGCCTTAAGGAGCTGCGTTAAAAACACTTCCTTGAGGTGATGTTCTTGATGGAGACGATGAATTGAGAAATGTGTTGGTGGATCTTCAGGAATGGCTAGGGTACGAAAGAGTTTTTACTGTAAATCCGGTTGGGACTTGTGGGGGTTTAGCACTTTTCTGGAAAAAGAGTATAAATATTGACTTTCTCTTTGTGAATAAGAATCTGTTGGATATTCATGTTCAGTTTGGAGCTGTAAATTTCTTTGTCCCCTGTGTGTATGGTGCACCTCAAGCAAATGGCTGTGCTATTGTATGGGAACGGCTGTCACGTATTGGGGTATCAAGGAAAGATCGTTGGTGTATGGTTGGTGATTTCAATAAAATCATTCATCATGGTGAGAAAGTAGGAGGGCCTAGACGTTGTGATTCCTTTTTTTTGGCGTTTCGTAACATGATGAGGGCTTGTGATATGTCAGAGTTAGAGAGTAAAGGTAACAGACTTACGTGGGGAGGTTGGAGACGTAATGTATGGGTTCAATCCAGGCTTGATAGATGTTTTGGGAATAAGAGTTGGTTTGCTGAATTTCCGGCTTCGAATCAACTTTTACTTGATAAGAGAGGTTCAGATCACAGACCTGTCCTGATCAGCCTGGTTTCTTCGCAGCACACTTATCGTGGGCATTTCAGGTTCGACAAGTGTTTTCTCTTTAAGACTGCTGTGAAACTATCTATACTTGAGGCGTGGAGAGGGTCAAATCATAGGGGGAGTTGCTCAGTTTCAGACAAATTAAGGGCTTGTAGATCTGCTCTAAGCTTGTGGAAAAGGGAGAATCCAGTGAATTCCAGAGATAAAGCTGCTCAATTGGAACATGAGCTGGAACGTGAGCAATCAGCTTATATCCCAAATCAAGCGCAGGTCAATTGTATGAAGTGGGAACTAAGGATAGCGTATAAAAAGAAGAAGACTTCTGGAAGCAGAAAAGCAGAGTTAAGTGGCATAGACATGGAGACCTAAATTCCAAATTTTATCATGCAGAAGTAAAAGCCAACAGGAATAAGATGAATCTGGATCTACTGGTGGATAACAATGGGGTTGAACAGAGGTCAGAAGCAGCTAAAGGAGGGGTGGCGGTAAACTATTTCAGCTTGCTGTTTCAATCATCGAATCCCCCTCCTTTTGATTACTGGTTTCAAGGTTTTCCAAGAAGGATCTCGGATGAGACGAACATAGCTCTTATCAAGCCAATATCAAGGTTAGAAATTTGAGAAGCTCTGTTATCCATCAAACCGTCGAATGCCCCTGGACCAGATGGTATGACAGGTTTGTTTTTTCAGCATTATTGGAGTATTGTGGGAGAGAAAGTTGTGGAGGAGGTGCAGCAGTTCTTTGTAGAAGGAGTGTTTCTGAAAGAATGGAACCACACCCATCTCTGTCTTCTTCCAAAGATCACCAACTCCTCTCTTATGTAAGATCTTAGACCGATAAGTCTCTGTTCAATCCTTTGTAAGATCATTTCAAAAATCTTTGTGGCTCGTCTCAAACCCTTCTTTTCGGACGTTGTTTCTATGAATCAGTCTGTGTTTATTGCTGATAGGCACATCTCAGATAATATCGCGAATGCCCATGAATTGGTGCATGCTTTGCGGACCCATGGCAGGATTTCGGCAAGCTTCATGGCGGTCAAGACAGATATGTCAAAGGCGTATGACAAGGTGGAATGGAGTTATCTGAGAGCGTTGTTGGAGGCTTTAGAATTCCATGAGAAGTGGGTTACTTGGATCATGTTTTGTGTATCCTCGGTTTCATTCTCGGTGCTTATCAATGGGAATCCTCATGGTTTGATTGTGCCTCAACGGGGTCTAAGGCAAGGAGATCCCTTATCTCCTTTTCTTTTTGTGCTCTGTACGAAGGGGTTAACTCATCTTTTGAGCAGAGCTGAGAGAGAGGGTCTTCTAAGTCGTATTAGATTCTCAGAAAATGGTCCAGCGATACATCATTTGCTGTTCGTTGATGATAGCTTATTTCTATGCAAAGCAGAAGATCAGCAAGCGAGGTTATTGAAGCAAATTCTCTTAAGATATGGAGAGGTAACAGGTCAAACCATCAACTTGGCGAAATCTTCTATTTCTTTTGGGGCCAAAGTATCAGCCAAGTCAAGGAAAAGCATACAACATCTCCTCCAAATCTTCAGTGAAGGAGGGGCAGGCAAGTACTTAGGTTTGCCTGAATGCTTTAGCGGTTCAAAGGTTGAGATGTTGGGGTTTATAAAAGATAGAGTTAAGTCGAGGTTGTCTGGATTCTATGCAAGAACTTTGTCTCAAGGGGGAAAAAAAGTGTTATTGAAATTCGTAATCACAGCCTTGCCTGTTTTTGCAATGATGGTGTTTAAGCTTCCAAAATTGGTGTGCGCCAACATCACAAGTGCTATGGCAGAATTTTGGTGGAGCACGGTGGAGCATAAAAGCAAAATTCACTAGATTAGATGGGAAAAAATGTGTTTGCCTAAGACGCAGGGAGGAATGGGGTTTAAAAACATTGAGCTTTTCAATCAAGCTCTTTTGGCCAAGCAAGCTTGGAGAATCCTTCATGACCCAACGTGCCTTCTATCTCAGCTCCTAAAAAGTATTTATTTCCCTGATGCCGGGTTCTTGAAGGCTTTTATCTGTCTGAGGCCTTCTTTTGCATGGCGTAGCCTTTTACATGGGAGAGATCTTCTTGGGCAAGGGTTGCGACTAATGGTTGGAAACGAAAGATTGATTAGTGTGTGGTCAGACCCGTGGCTTCGCTCTGAAGGAGGTCGAGCTCCGCATAGTAGAAATATATCCATTGATATAAATCTCAAAGTCGACTCCCTGATTGATGGATCAACTTGTAAGTAGTGTACTCAGACCTTAGTGGATTTGTTTGTACCAGATGATGTGCGCTCAATTCTTAAGCATCCTCCGGCGGCACTCTTACATGATTTCTGGGTTTGGAAATTCAACAAGAGCGGTGAGTACTCAGTTAAATCCGGGAGTTGGATGATCTCAAACATCCTGAAGGAAGATCTATTCAGAGCTGAGACCATGCTTCCATCGTTGAATTGTCTGAAGGAGCATGTTTGGTGTTTAAAAACTGTGCCTAAGATTAAGCAATTCTTGTGGACATTGCTTACCGGGGCATTACCTGTGGTTGAGGCGATCTCAAAGCGGGGGTTAAAGGTGGATAACAGATGCCAATTATGTGGCCATGAAGATGAATCGATTGATCATGTTTTCTTCCAGTGTGTTCTAGCAAGACAAGTTTGGGCCCTTTCTCATATTCCTTCTCCAAGGCTAGGTTTTGAGAATTCCTCTACTTATGTTAATATCTATCATCTCTTCTCGTTGGAAAAGAATGGTCTTCTAACCGTTGAGATCATGCGTTCTTTTCCATGGGTTTTGTGGTACATCTGGAAAAACAGAAACTCCTTCTTGTTTGAAGGGAAGCTGTTCTCGCCTTTGGAGACAATGGAAAAAATATTGGATGAGACAAGTTGATGGTTTATGGCTCAATCGGTTATTTTGGTTGGTGAGGATCATCCTAGAGAGTTTGTGCCTGCGGAAATTTCAAAGTGGAGACCTCCTCCAAAACCGTGGCTCAGCTGTGATATTGGTGCGATTTGGTTTAAGTCAAAAAGGTTGGGAGGAATGGTGTGGGTAGTTAGAGATTGGGAAGGGAAAGTGCTGCTACATAGCCGTAGGGCGTTTTCGAATGTTGATACTCTGGATTATTGCTATTTTTTTAGCTTGGTATGGACTGTCGAAAGCATGCATAGTCATAAAATCTCGAAGGTGGTGTTCAATTCTGATGCAGGGGATCTACTGCGAGCATTTAAAAGACCTCATGCTTGGCCATCCTTTGCGTTTCAGGTTTCAGAGCTTCGGCTTTTGCTATCTCACTTGATGGAGTGGGATTTGTCATTGGTTGAGCCCTCCTTTCTTAGAGGGTCTCATCTCATTGCTAAAAGTGTTACGAATGAGTTGAGGTGTCAATCTTACGTAGCGTCTGGTGCTCCGCGTTGGCTCCAGGATATCTTTGTCGATGAGAGAGTTGTACCTTCTAGTTAGATTTTGTTGTTTTCCAAGTATTTGAGGTGGTTGTGGTTTTAATGGCTGCTCTGTTTCTCCCTTTTCTTTGGGATTTCTGTCTTGAGAGCCATGCTTTTATCCTTTTGCTTGTTAGTATAGTGTTTGTATTCGTTTTCTTCCTGTATCCGTAGATATTGGTTGACTTGGGTTTTTCAATATTACTTAGATGACAAAAAAAAACATCAAAAAAACATAATTAAAAAAAAATTGGCAACAATTGGCAAAAGGTCCAAAAACTAGTTCAAAGGATGTTTTTAGATTTGTGAAAACCAAAGTTTGGGGCTTAATGTCCTTACCATTCTGATTATAGAGTTCTAGAAACAAGTGAGATCGACCAAAAAACAAGTGAAATCGACCAAAGACAAACCGAGTGGGATAAAAAAACAAAAAGTAAGACAGCTGCACATGGGAATGGTTTGGGCAATCATATTAGCACCCTACAAGGTTGTTTCTGTGGACGCCATTATCGGTCCCTGCGGTGTTCAGCCAATCGATACACATTACAAGCGTCAGCTTTGTGATTCAACATGCCATACTTGTGACACATCCCGCTAAAACAATTAGCATAAACGCGAAATTTGTTTTGGCTGAAGTCACTTTTCGAAAACGAGTCCCAACAAGTAAATCGTGTGTATAGCTATATCTCAGTGTTGAAGTTAAAGTCAGAAAAAGAATATGACTCAAAGCTCAAGATTGAAGAAACATTGGAGAGATCCAAGAGAGGTCAGTAATTGACCATTTAGGAAACTAATCGGACATGAAGGTTTTCATCCACGAGTGTAGTAATAATGAAAAATTCAAGAAAACTGCTGTTTTTTTTATCTTTGCCGAAAGATATGTATCCACTTATTTCTATCTAAATCACCAAATCGTATTCGTTCCCTTCTACTATCTTTTACATCTCAACAAACACATAAAGAACAAAAGACGAAAAAAAAACGAAAAAAGTTTCCTTCGAGTTCTTTGTTTCCTCCTAGACTCAGTTTCAGATTCTCAATACAACGCTAACAAATTTTCCAATCTAATCCGAAATAGAAGTCCAAATGCATTCAATGGCATCAAACTCCAACCTATCACTACTAACCGTTTTAACTGGCCATCTCACTTCACTAATCTCTTCAAACATTTCATTTCCATCATCCATGACAGGAAAAAGAGATCCTGGTAGACTCCAATCAAGGGAGGTTGAAATCATGCTCTCTTTCATCCACGGGAACTCAAACACTCCAAAACTCTCCTGCCCGCGTTGTTCAGTACTCCCGCTTGATCTCTTCTCGTCCATCTTGTTTCCCACTAGATTCACGTTACTAATGTTGTTGATCACATGTCTCTTTTTGTTTTTCTTCATATGCTTGTCTAATTTCTTGCGTTTATTGCTTTTAGACGAACTCTCCATGATGATCAAAAACGCGAGATGATGAGATTTGGAGTGTATTAAAATTAATTATATAAATGGAAAATTAAAAGAGGAAGGGATGAGAGGGAGTCACGCCTTCTTACCCGTATGCCTCTGTCATTTAGCATTTAAAAAGCAAACCAACCAGATCCTTTTGTGTTGTTTTCGTGTCTTCCTTCTTTTACGTTCTACTTCCTCTCTCTCCCAACCACACAAGCAATTGAAAAACGTTTTGAGATATCCAAGGATGAGGTGGAACATCAAGACACAAAGGGCTATATTTAGCATTCTTTTATTTCAGTCACTATGCATTTTTCATGTCAATAAGATTCATATATTAAATTAATTTTTGTCGGTAATGCGATTGCTCCCTAGAACAAACCATACTAACTCATTGTAACTTATACTAAGCTTTTAACCTGAATTACGCGCAGATCTACATTAACGATTTGGTTCATTTTATTTGATTAATACCTTTTAAATTATCAAAATTATAAAATATTTATATAAATTTTATTTTATATAAAATATTAAAAATTTAATGAGTAGATTCTTCTTACTTTTTGTTTATAAAATTATAACATTTTATTAAATAAAATCATAATAATAATACATATCAAATTATTCAACTTTGACATGCATATGTTAAATTAGAAAATGATTTTCTTACTATATTCTTGATATTTATTGATGTTTTGTTTTATTTTATTAAGATTTCTATAGTTCTTCTTTATTAAATGTTTATATATTCACTTATTTAGTTTTTAATTAAATATTTCATTGATATTGTGTACTTATGCATACTGTTAGGCCCAGTTTTACCACGTTCAAGGATGACGCGACACATGGACATCGAACCACCCTAGATACTAACACAGCTTGCTAGCTCGGCCAACAACTCCCTAGCGTACTGTTCCCTAGCAAGCTTCCCGAATATAAAGAGGCTGAATTTCTATCTGAAGCCTGCTGCAGAGAGGCATTTGGTACAGCTCAATAAACTGGATGAACTCATATATTTGGCCTATAAAAACTCCAAGTTGTACAAGGAGAGGAAGGCAAATCATGATAAGAAGATCATCTCCAGACATTTCGAGCCCAATGACTAGGTACTTTACTACAACTCTCGTCTGCAGTTATTTCCTGGTAAACTGCGTTCTCGTTGGTTGGGTTCCTTCACTATCAAAGAGGTCATACCACATAGCGCCATTGTCCTGATAAACTCTAAAGGAGAGGAGTTCACTGTGAATGGCCAAAGGGCGAAACATTATTGGGCGCAAGCCGAAATTCCAGTAGGACACATTGTGACTCTGGATGATGCACCCGCTGTGTGAGCAGTATTCCAAGTCAAGCTAATGACTTAAAACAAGCGCTTAGTGGGGGGCAACCCACTGATAAGTTTTCTAATTCTTGTATTTTGGTTTATTTTCGTTCTGTAGAGTTATAGGAAAAAAACAAAAAAAATAATTTAGCGGAGTGGTGGTAACCATCTGGCTGGTCACCACAGCTCGTCACCCACTATTTGGTGATGCTCGTCGCCTATCCGTACCAGGTACGCGAATTATATCTCTCTTTTCTTATTCTTCCCCACATAATTCTTTCACCACCCGACGAACACATAAACCACCAAATCTCTATCTTTTGATTTTGTTAACCAAATTAAGTGATTCAAAAGCCTAATATGTGCAGATTTTAGTCCTCTTTCATAATCTATCACTCAATTTCAAGATCTGAAAGGTATGTGTTCGAAAACTCCAATTTTCAGTCCGATGCTGGTTTGGTAAAGTTCGAATTCTGACCTATTTAGCTAGATTTATCTGTTGAATCATGGTTATTTAGGTTGTATTAGAGCAGTGCTACAAACCTCGAGTGATATTAATGGTTGATTTGCAAGTTTTTAAATTTTTTGAATTGGTGATTGAACTTGCAATCTGGTAATATGGGATGTTTTCGGTCGAATGTGGGATTAAATTGTGGTCCTGATAGTGTTGGGAACGAATACTAGTGGTTATTTCACCTTAAATCACTGATTTTCGAATTTTTAGAATTTGTCCTAATTTTGGTGGATTTTTGGTTGATTTTGATTTTGATTGCAGATGCCTCCAAGAGAGAAGAGATTCCGATCCTCTACATCCACTGGTGAAGCATCTGGTTCCACACTTCCATAGGTTACATGACCATCGTGCATGCCACCATGGCCTAAGAGAGAGGGCAAAAAGGTTGCCTCGGGAATTGCTTGGGAAGGCACTGATATACTCATTATTTACACCAAATTAGCATACATTTTGCATTGTTTTATAGTCTTTAAGCATGCATTTTTGCTTATTTTTGTTCCATTTGCATTTAATTAGGACTTAGTGTAGATTTAGGGTGTGCATTGCATGTTTTGTGCATTTGAGGAGTTTGGCAGGTATGTTTGGAGAGTTTGGAGACTACAAGGAGCATGGGAGATGATGGTGGCCAGCAACTTCACCTGAAAAAACTGGCTCGGACAAGGCATATCTAACCCGATTCAGCTTCAACAGTCTTCATCAATGTTGTAGCCCGGGGAGTTAACTTTTGTCTGGAATTGGTTTCAGGTCATTCCCGTCAGCGGTGAGACTGTTACAGAAGTTTTCGTGAAACCGCTCATCCACATCGATCAACAGCATCAGTCAAGATTGACCGATATGATCCACCCGAGAGTTTGAAGATTCACATCGATCAACAGCATCGGTCAAGACTGACCGATGTGATCCAATCGAGAGTTTGAATTTTCACATCGGTCAGGCCCATCGGTCATCAGCTGACCGATGTCAAGCAAATGAAGGACCATATTGACTGAAGATCAGCTCAGATGAGGTGTTTGCATTCCGATTTGGCCTCGGCGTTCTTCATCAACTTTGTAGCAACTTGAGTTAACTTGCGCTTGGTGTTGGTTTCGAGCCATTCCTGTAGGTGGTTGAAGAGGTATGGCTACTAGAGTCAGCATATGTCCATCTGGAGTTTCGACCAATCATCTTGACCGACTTGAAGATCAGCCTGGCCGAAAGGTTTCCGTCTTGATTAATCTTCTTTACTCTTCTTGGAAGTTGTAGCCAAGTGAGTTAGTTTTCTGGAGGACTTGGTTTGAATTCATTCCGATGAGCGGTTAGAAAGTTACAAAAGTTTTCGTGAAACTGCTCAACCTACATCGATCAGGTACATCGAGCAAGTCTGACCGATGCCATTGACATCGGTCATGGATGACCGATGCTGACCCAGACAGAAGAAAACTTAATTACAATTTTGCCATTCCGCTTAGACTCCTATAAATACTTAAAATCCCTAATTTTTGGGAACATCATATTATCCAGCAGTTCTTTCTTCTTTTGTTTTTGGGTTACAAATTGTAGTTTGAATCTTTTCTTGATTTTAATAAGAGTTTGCATTTATCTTCTTGGTAATCTCTCTAATCATGATTTGCTATCCTTTTCTCTTTGAATTGATGGTTTTGATGGTGATTAGTGAGTAGTGACTTAGGGATTTGAGATGGGTTAGGTTTAGGGAATTTGATGCTTCATCTATGATTACTTAGTGTTAATTCTTCCATTTACTTTATTGATTACTGTGTTTAATTCCTGATTAGCCTTAGCTAATATGATTAGGATCTTAGGCTCATTATATGCCCACCAAGTGTTTGATGAAATGCCTGATCTGCTTTGTGATATATCATGGTTTTTATGGTTTTTAACCATGATATAAGTCCTTTTTATTGAGTCTTTTTGGTATTTTTAGAGTCTTAGAAGAGTCTTTGCAGGTTATAGCATGTCTGGAGCATAATTGGAGATTTTGGAACCTTTTGGAGCATTCTGAGTTGAAGCCACGAAGTACCTAGCTCGAAGAAGAAAGTATGCCATATGGTGATGCTCGTCACCAAGCTGGTGACGCTCGTCACCCACCAAGGAAGGAGGTCGTGGCTTGTTTTTAAAAGATTGGGAAGAAATTACAGTTTTGGCCCAAAAGTTCCAGTTTTTGCAAAAAGGCCCCATATCGTGTTTTAGCTTGTATATTAGGTTTTTCAGCCATTCTTTTGGCATATATCTTGTATCTTATTATTTTTGAGAACTTTAGAGAGAGATTTGTAGCAGAGCTTTTGGGAGAGACAAATCAGACTCCTTCAGAGCAGATTTTGAACTCCTTTATTTCTACTTCTTATTTCTTTTATGCAATCTATTCTTTTCATGATGTTTTCTCAAATCACCATGTCTGAGTAGTTTGTTAGTTAAGTTAGGGCTTTTCAAAGGTTGAAGAAGAGTTTGTAGAATTGCTAAAAACTTATAGGAAATTCATTGGTTCTTCATCTGTGCTTGCATTCATATCGATTTCTTAGACACATCATCTGGATTTCGAAACCCTAGGTTTTTGATAGATGTGAGAGCATTATTACTCACCTGAACTAGTATTAGATGAGCAAAACGCCCTAGTACAAAGAGATTTGGCTTAGGAGTTTTGTGAACAATTGAACCTGATCATTACTGCATGTTTAGGTTGTTAGGGTTTGCAAAGAGATTTGAAACTCTGTGATTTAGACATAGATGACTTCTGCAATGAGAATTGATTAGTTATATCTTTGTGATTCATGTTCAAGACGATTTTAATTCATTCCTGATTGCATGCATTCTACACTCTCAGATTCAACCTGCGAACTGTCCTGACTTAGCGCCTTTAGCCTTCTGAACTTTAAGAACAAGCATAAAAACGCCCTCTTGCATTTATTTTACTGTTTTGCATTACATTCATTATTTATCGCTTAGCTTAATCTGAATCTATAATCGCTAGTTTGGTTTACATACTCCCTTGGGATTCGATAACCCCTTGTACTACAACTGCTTTTGCTGTGCACTTGCAGTAGTTTTATTTGGGTAAAACCTGACCCTATCACTTTGCAAGAGAATTGCTTATCATAGCTCAAGAGATTGACTGTCTAGGGAGTGATTTGGCAATATAGGATTGATAGATTATCTTAATGCTTGTTGTTTGTCATTTCACTAATGATAATTAGTTCTTGACTTAATGATTAGTAAAGAGATTAGTGTCAAAAGATTGGATTAGTCATATAAATGAATTATGTGCATAAGGAATATCATTGCGTGAGTTTGTAAGCATCATAGGTTGAGTTGATAGTTCCCTAACACCAATTACCCCATCTCAAATCTTGTCTTTCCTCTGTTTTTAGTTCATTTCGACCTCGCTCTGTTTTTTGCTTATGTTTTAATTGCTTTGCTTGCTGTTCACCCTTAGTTTGATGTTTGCTTCATTTCTGTTTGATCTTATAGGTTGTTAGACTTCTAAACTCTCTCTATATCTACT